CTGTTTGAAGATCGCCTGATTAAGGAAACGCCGTCGTGGGATCGAATCCTTTGCTCCGTAGGACCCGATGGGATCCAGCCCTTTTTACGGCTCCTGCACCAAGACTCTGCAATCAACAGCCTTATTTCTAGTCCCCTGGGAAACCGCTCTGGAGCCTAAAAGGCTCCAGTTGTATGCGTTTTCTTTTTTTTAGCCTGGAAGGGATTAAACCCCTACCGCGGTTTTTCTGCCTGCCGCTCTACAGGTGATCTGCAATCAGCTGTTCTGGCCCCGCCCAGGCACCTCTTTTGAGACTGCCTATTGGCGGAGGCTCTTCTGTTGCCTTAAAGCAACAGCTGCTCTCTCCTTTTTGCTACACTGGATCCTCTGCTATCGGCTGTGGATCTGCTCCGCTGGATCTGGATCTGGATCTGGAACTTCTATTATTAGGACACCAAATTTTCTGAAATTGGGACTAAAACAAGTGGCATCACTCAAAATGAGGGGCATGGAGGAACATGATTCTTCAGTGAAAAATCTGCAAGTGAACTTTCCATTTGGGCCATGTGCAAGAAGTGTTGGATCAACTCCCAAAACTATGCCTCCCACATTTTACAGCATTCACAGAATCCTGGCCTATCAGGTTAATCCTGAATGTTGGGAGTCATAGATCTAGAACATGTGACATTTCTTTTACCTACAGGTCTGCTTATGAGGCAGTACTGGTCCTTACACTAAAATTATAGAAACTTCCAGATTGTGCCTTTTGCAGAAATCAACTGAGTTCTCAAAGGGTGATGATAAAAGTTTGACCATGAGAGTTAAGAATTGGTGGCATGGAACCCAGTATGAAGTTGTGCTATGACAATATTTAGCACAGGGTTAATGAATAGGCGTAACAGGCAGTAAGTAAGTAAGTAAGTAAGTTAATGAATAGGCAGATTAAGGGGGGGTGGACTGATAAAGCTTTTGAATGGAGTAGGATATCTTTTTATTTACTTATTTGTGTACAGGTTGCACTTGTACAGGTCCTAAACCAGGACTCTTGGACCACAGCTGTTGCTGTACAAGAGAGCCCTGGGGTAGGAGGGCCAGCAGCTGAGAGCCCCATGAAAAGCGAGGCTAGTGGTAGTGGGACCAGGACCTCAGCAGACCAGTGGCGGTAGTGGGGCTGTAGTAGCAGGGTAGGGACATGCTGGCCCAGCAACAGGGTTGTGCTGCAGCAGCCCAAGTGGAGCTGGGTGCCAGCCTGACAGTGGGGAAAGAGCTGCAGCAGTTAGGCCGGGCTGTGGCAGTCCAGCAGGGGAAGCCAGTCTGGGGCTGCGGCAGCGGGGCCAGGGCTGCAAGCTGCCCTGCTGGCAGTGGGTCTGGAGCAGCAGCAGGGTCAAGACACCTGGCTGCCAGCAGCGGGGTGGAGGAGCTGATGATGGGGAGGGGCCGCAGGCAGAAGAGCTTCCCTGGTCCGGCAAAATCTCTCATCCCAAGGATGCCGGACAAGTGAAGTCCAACCTGTATTATTTTTCTGGACCTTGCCTATACGGTACCGAAAGAAATTTAGATCTTGCCAAAAAAAAAATTGATTACTGCTGGGTTAGCGAATGGAACATGGTTAGTGCTCAACCTACTGTGGCCTAAATAGCACTCATAGAGGGGGAACGTTTAACAATCTGGTTTCTTCTGCAGCAAAGTCGAGATGTGAAACTGGGCAGACAGCACAGCCCTGCTTCACAAAAGAACCTCTGGCCCTGGCACTCCTGGCTTTTAAATTAGCTGGCACCAACCAGCAAATCCCTTCAGCACTAACGGGAGAGCTCCCTGAGGGCAACACTCAGCTTTACCACTATTTGTAAACCTCTTCCCCTCTGGCCACCCCAGCTCTACCGTCAGGCTGATGACTCCCGAAGGAGAACGCTCCAGGGACTCGTTCACAAAAGAACCTCTGGCCCTGGCACTCCTGGCTTTTAAATTAGCTGGCACCAACCAGCAAATCCCTTCAGCACTAACGGGAGAGCTCCCTGAGGGCAACACTCAGCTTTACCACTATTTGTAAACCTCTTCCCCTCTGGCCACCCCAGCTCTACCGTCAGGCTGATGACTCCCGAAGGAGAACGCTCCAGGGACTCGGCCGTCAAGGACAGGAGCTCAGGTGCCGGTGGGAAGGGAGGGATGAGCCCGCGAGGCCCTGGCTGCTGAGGTGCGGCTGAGCCCAGGCAGGAGGAGAATGGGCCGGCTCTGCCCTCTCTCCCCTCCCACTCACGC